AGGTGTTGCAGTCCATGAATCTAAGTTTGGAGTAATGCCTTGTGGCTGTTCTTACAGTATCAGCCATTTATAACATTAATTGCACTTTTAAAACTAATAATCAGTTGTGCTATCATTTCAACCTGGATAGACTCAGACGGGGAAGAGATACAAATAGAAAAAGTTTATTCAATTTATTTGCAAGTAACACAGTCAGATTGGTTACAATTTACTATCTAAGGAAAACCAGCTGATTGCAACGACTTATTGACTCGAAGGCAATCCCTCACATCAAGCATGCCTGTAGCAACAGTGGAGAGGAAAACCCCCTTTTAACAGGAAGGAACCTCCAGCAGAACCAGGCTCAGTGGGAGCGGCCATCAAGATGGGATAAAACAAGATAGGATCTTTGGTGTTGGGCCACAGCAGAAGCCTTGGCTTGGATGAGTAACCTATGAGGAGGATTAGAGTGGTCTCTTTCCCCTGGGGCCTGAACACTGCTGGTGGAATAACCTTGAGAATGAGAGGGTCTAAGAATGGGCTATGAGAGAAGGAGGAGATGGTGTGGAGGTGGGTTAAAGTTCAGCTGAAGCCCTGAATGGGGAAGCTGGGCCTTCATCTTAATGAAGAGCATCTTGAGAAATGATTGGCTTTGGAGAGGGTGCGGCTCCTCGTTGATTGGCTGAAGCCTGAGCGTGGGATGTCAGAAGGACTTCCAGGTTAAACTTTCACTAAAGCTTAATATCGCTAGCATTTGAAAAAAGCTGTAAGGCTGGTTTTCTTCAGGCTTTTAGCATCACTCAGAAGAAGTAAAAATCAGGTGAGCTCCAGGTATCTGAAACAGAATACACCTGTCCTTCTCTTAAGCTGCACAGTATGTAACCTATCCTGAAAATCCACAATTACAGCAATCATTTTGCAGACTTAAGAGCAAGTAAACCAGGAACAGTGAAAAAAAAAAATCTTTTCATTTTGTGATCATTTGGTGAGAGTAAATTAAAATATAAAAACAGAGAAAATTCTAATATTTTATAATGAAATTTCTAGATTAAACTGAATTTAGAATCTAGAAACACTGAATTGCTGATTCATGGCTTCCTAGTTTCCTTCTGTATAAAATATG